AAAGACTTGGAACCAAACCAAATTTCCATCGATGATAGACTAGGTAAAGAAAATGTGGTACATATATACCATGGCATACTATGCAGTCTCCAAAAAGGATGAGTTCACATCCTTTGTAGGGACATGGATGAAGCTGGAAACCATCATTCTTGGCAAACTAACACAGGGACAGAAAACTAAACACTGCATGTTCTCACTTATAAGTGGGAGTTGAACACATGGACTCAGGGAGGGGAATATCACACACTGGGGCCAGTTGGGGAGTGGGGGGTTAGGGGATGGATAACATTACGAGAAATACCTAATGTAGATGATGGGTTGATGCGTGCAGCAAACCACCATAGCATCAGTATACCTATGTTACAAACCTGCACATTCTGCACATGTATCCCAGAACTTAAAGAATAATAATAAAGTAAAATTGTGAAATAGTAAATAAAAAAGAGGTAGCTACTTCAGAAAAGTGTATAGATGGTAGTAAGGAAATGTCCTAATAAGTATATGCTTGAATGAATCAGTTGAGTTTGGAAGGATTATGAAGAGTTTAATGCATGAGGAAAGTCTTAAATTTATTTGTATTTTAAGCAGATAAAAAAATGCATAAAATAATGTATGGAGACATAACAGTGTGATGAACTATCGGTAGTAAATTTTGTGTTTGTTTGGTGGTAGGTGGTAAATTTATTTGTATCGTTTTGCATATAAATGTCAGGGACCTTGTCTGTTTTGTTCATCTTTTTAACCCCAAGTTCTTAACAAATACCTGCTGAATAAATAAATGAACGAAAATAGGAAAATAGTTCTATATGAACATTAGTAACTGAGTCTAACAGGTATATTGGCAGTACATTATAAAAAAAATCAGACTATGCCATGCAAAGAAATGTTAAGTTGGTTTCCTGAAAAATACAGGGAAGTTAATGCATTTTAGTACTTAAACGTATAACCAAATATTTTCAATATAATCAATAAATTAAAATACTTATACTTTTTGTGATCTATGAGTGTCTCAGATAAAATAAGTTCTCTATAATGACAAGGGAAGGACTTTAGAATGGATAATTTTCAGCATGTGGAGAAGAAAGATGGAATGTGAAAAGTGCAGAGATAGGAAGGCACAAAGTATTTTTGAGAAGGAATGTTTGAAACATTTTATTTCTGAGGGTGGATTAAGAACATAAGCCAACAAGGCAGCAAACTGTATATTTTATTGTGGCTTTACCAGTAACGGAGCAACTTACAGATACTCATTTAGCCTCTTTTGGCTTTAGTTTTCTGTTTGTAAAATAAAGCTTTTAAAGTAGTCTCTTCAATTGTTCTAGCTCTACATAGTAATAAGTAGAACTGAAAAAGTTGATTCAGGACAGTCTATGGAGGAAACTAAAGGGCACACTCTTTACTTTGAGCTTCACTTAATGGATTTTAGAGTATCATGGTGATATGGTTTGGCTCTGTCCCCACCCAAATCTCATCTTGTATTCCCATGTGTTAGGAGAGGAACCTGTTGGGAGGAAATTGAATCATGGGGGCAGGTCTTTCCCATGCTGTTCTCATGATAGTGAATACGTCTCACAAGATATGATGGTTTTAAAAAGAGGAGTACCCCTGCATAAACTCTCCCTCTTTGCCTGATTTCATCCATGTAAGATGTGACTTGCTCCTCCTTGCCTTCCGCCATGATTGTGAGGCTTCCCCAGCCACGTGGAACTTTAAGTTCAGTTAAACCTCTTTCCTTTGTAAATTGCCCAGTTTCAAGCATGTCTTTAACAGCAGTGTGAAAATGAAATAACACACATGGCTTCTTTTAAAAATTGTTTTAGTATACCTTCAAATCTATTTATTTCATCAATTAACTGGTATTTATCATTGAAAATATGAAAATTATAGTAAGCAAAAATTTAAAAATTAAAGGTCATCTAAAACCCTGATTCTGAGATATAATTCTCCTAGCATGTTGATGTTTATCTTTTGTGATTGATGGGTAAATGGAAACATACAGCAAAATAGATATACATGTTTTTCCATCAAAAACTTGGAATTTACATATCATATTATAATATTAACTCACTGTTTTACTTTGTACATAATAAACCCTCTTTCATGTCAATAAATTATTTTCTTCTGTATCATTTCTGATGCTAGCATAGCATTCCTTTTTACAATAGAACCATTATGAAACCAATCCCCATTGTTCAACACCTAGGTTGTTTCCTTATATCTGTTATTTGCTACACTACTGGATGAATGGGAAAATAGTATTGTCTAAAATTGAAAATCTAGATAACATATTCGTTAGGAGGGAATATGATGAGATAGAAGAGTTGATATTAAAGTGTAAGAGCAAAGCATCTACATCCAAAGACCTTGAAGTCTTTTGGAAATCTGAGTTTGGAGATTGCAATTGAGATTTGGGAGGAATTAACCTTGTGATGAGAACTGAAAGTAGATAAGCTTGAGTTTGCTGAGCAAGGGTACAAAGGGGGAACAGGCTTTTAAAATTCAGAAAAGGAGATGTACATTAGGGCATGGATATATGATGAAGTTGAACAGACTGAGTTGTTATAGCACGACAAAGACAAAGCTAAAAATAGCCCTGTGTTGCACAGTATGAAAAAAGACTGCCTATGGCATGTGAAGATTTTAGATTATATTACAAACACATATACATAGTAGCACTTTTGTGAATAAAAGAAAATATATATAAGAAGCTGTATTTCTCATTTGAAAGAATTGTGTGTGTGTGTGTGTGTGTGTGTGTATTTTATTGTTTGCTTTGATGTGTTTGGTTTTGTTTTGAAGCTTAAAGAAAATCTTGCAAAATTTGTCCAAATCATTTTCTTTCTAAGTATTAAGGCAGCAACCTTTGTAAGAATTTCAAAGCAATTACTTATTTATTTAAAACTACATAAATTAAGCAATGCAAGTTGAACTATGCATACATATCTGCCTCCTTGGGCTGTTGCCTAATGCCATATATAGCTACAATTATGAACAAACCAAAATTCGTCTGTAAGACTGAGAAAAATAGATATTTCAACACACAGCCATAAAAAGAGAAGAATACTTATAAGGTCATTTATTTCACCTTGTAAAGTACAGGTATGTAGGACCACGTGTAGTTCTGCTATTGGAATCAAAGGAAGTTGGCTCAACGTTGTTTCTAAAGCAGGGAAGGTGTTTCCATACTTTTACCGATATGAATCAACCTGTAATGTAAGGAAATTCTTCCTTAGTCTATCCCTAAAACTTGCTTGATTTAATTTATATTATGATTACACAAAGCTAAGAAAATACCATCAAGCAAGTTTTCATAAATTAAGCACAAAGAGGCTGGTTAGTGGGGCCAGGAGAAAAATTCTAAAATTATTCCCTTTTGTGTTGGAATTTCAGTATCTTTTAAATAAAGTTGTTTGTTTGTTTATTTAATTGATAATACTTTCCATACTGCCTTTGAAATTTAAAAAGAATTATATTGTATGCATTCGGTTTACTGCTAACTGACTTTTTGCCGGTTGTTGTCATTGTAAACATTCATGTGTGGACACACATACATACACACACCTCAAATTAACCCCCAGTTTCCTATATTTTACATTGTAGTTTTTGTCTTTGCTAATAATCCTTTTAATAGTATGGCAATCCTAGGTGAGGACAGAAAAATTATGTCACACCCAGACTAACCAATATTCAGAAATATGCCTTGAAGCCCAGAACATCCCTGGGAGAAGGCGCCTGCCATAACTGAAGCCTGGATCCCATCAGGCGTCTCTTTGCATGTACCCGAGACACATTAGTGTTTCAATTGACAAGTTTGATGCCTTTTTACATATTAAGTGAACTTTGCTTTGCATTATAAGTGGTGGAGGGCCAGAAATAATTTCTATGCAAGTCATGGCAATCTTTATCTACACAAGACACACTCCTATAAAATTAAAGTTCTGCTCAAATAACTTTTCTTTTGAGTGATGATTCACAAGAGAAAGGATTTCTACTTTTGAATTAACTAGCCCTGTCCATTCAGTAACCGCTTTGGCTGAGAAAATTCATCCTTTTTATATTTTCCAGTGTTATTTGTCTTTTGGAGATAAACAGAGAGAGAGAAGGGGAGGGAGGAATGGAGAGAGAGAGAGAGACTTTACAAACAAAAGGCCTGATGCAATCGTTAATAACCTCCCCAGTCGGAAAAGGAGACAACATTTAGCAAGCACCTATGTAGGATGTTTCAGTGTGCCATGTGCTAAGAATAAGTGTTTTTATTAAAACATTCCAATAATCCTGCAAAGAAGCATTATTACACTGATCATTTAACAAAGGTAAATTTACAGTTTTGAGTGCCAGTCAAACATTTTGACATAAACTGTTTGGGACCTATTTGGTTTCAGGAAAAAGAACAAACCCCCATAATGCACATGAGTACACTACCCACTTTCCAAATTAAATATCTCCCTGCAGCTTATGATTTTCTGAATTTTCCAATCTTCCTGTGAGGTAGAAATTAGGCAAGCAGCATTCCTGCTGCTATACTGAAAACGATAGAGAAGAAAAGACAGGGACCTATTAGTTGGCTTTCCTAAAATCACCTAAACAGTAGTGAGATTACTGGAAATTGAATTTAGGCCCCCTGACTTGCCGTTGCCCATATCTCTGAGCACTAAAGGTATTTTCATAAATTAAGTACAAATAGACTGGGTTGGACCAGGGAGAAAAATTCTAAAATTATTCCCTTCTGTATTTGAATCTCAGTATGTTTTAAATACAGTTGTTTGTTTATTTAATTGATTTTATTTCTGCTAATATTCTTCATACTGCCTTTGAAATTAAAATAGGATATTATATGAATTCAGTTCCCTGCTAACTGACTTTTTGCCAGTTTTTTTCATTGTAAACAGACTGTTGTAATCTATGTTAATTCGGATGCTGTGTTGAAGTGATTTTTGTAAAATATTATTATGGACAATTTAGATGTAATATGAAACCAATTATTGGTCTGTATTTTGCAGTCACAATATGGAGCTTCCATTTCTGCCAAGCCTGAACTACCCCTCTTTTACACTCCTATTGATCTGGTGGACATTAGTGTAGAAATGGCCGGATTGAAGTTTATAAATCCTTTTGGTCTTGCTAGTGCAACTCCAGCTACCAGCACATCAATGATTCGAAGAGCTTTTGAAGCTGGATGGGGTTTTGCCCTGACCAAAACTTTCTCTCTTGATAAGGTAAGAAAATATTATTGAAATCATATAGAAATGTCTATCATATATTTTAATTAAGGTATAAATATTATAATGATTTTTTTTTTTTACTAAGAAACTTACTAAACTATTTGACAAGACCTATCATTACACATTAGTCTTTAGCTTCTTTCCTTCCTTTCTGTCCCATGGAAGGACGGGGAGGCATATATTTCTCATTTGTATTGTCTAGGAAGCAACAAAGATATAAATATTACAAAAGTGAGTTTTTCATTTAATAATCACAAACTCTTATTTTTGTATTATTAATTGTTTCATTATTTTGGATGCCTCAGCTCAAAGATAGGGACACAATTGATTTGGTTTGCACAAAATTCTGGGATTCAATTTATGTCAAAAAGAATCCCGGTGTAATTTATTGCTACTGGTAATAGGATAGATTCTTCCCAAATTTGGAATACAGAAACCTTTCTCAAAAACAAATACCCTGAGTTTCATTTAACAGTATGACTTTCTACTTACCCGGAAGTGGACATCTTATACTTAGTAGGAAATAAACTACGTATTAAAATTGAGATTGAGTCTTTAAAGTACACAAAGTATATAAATGCATGTTTTTAAAGTAGGATACTTTATACAACAAAAGGGTTGCATCCTTATATGGTTTTGAATTAGAAAAGAGCAACACACTTTAACATTTTTAGACTGTTTGTTGATAAATTACAAATACTAAACCTCTCAATGTATTTAATACTAACTGGTAGTTAGTAATAATTAATGTATATGAATGTGTGAATTTAGTGACTAAGAAAAGAGTATCATTATTTGAATCAGCTTTATCCTTAGGCAAAGAAAATAATAGAGAAAAAACATGCCCCATTAAGCACATTCTCTCTTTCTTTTTCCTCTTACTAGGATCAATAGCTGGCATTATTATGGCTAAAACATTAAGGCTGTCTGATTCTGACAGCTTTACAAGATGCAATGTGTAAGTGTGGTCAGGAAAATCTAGAGAATTCTCAAAAGTTAGGAAAAAAACAGTGCAGGAAAAAAGATTTTTTATATTTAGGTATCTAAAGAGAAGTTATTTTTTCAAATAAATCAACTGAATATTTTATTAAAGTGCAAAAATTAACAGAATATACTAGATTCAGCTTTAGAATATCATGAATCCATTGTTTATAACCTTGTAGAATATTGATAGTATATTTGTCTTTGTTTCAATTGATTGTTTAAAAATTACTGAGAAGCTATAGTCAAATGTTTAATCTGTTGGAGAAAACTGAGTCTCAGATACCATTTACTGACTATATTAGTTATGCTATTAAAATATATATATATGTAAACCGAAATAGGTGGCTAATTGGGCACAAGTGAAGAATTATAGCTGAAAAAAAGGCGTTTGTTGCTTTGAATTTGATGTTTTCTTTGCTTGCAATAATTGAATTCTGATTAATCAGAGACATCAGTCTTTATGCTGTTGGTGACATGCATTGATTTGTGATGCTGTGTCTTTCAGTAACCTAGTAGCACTTGCCTTTATTAGGATCACCAGCAGAAATAAATGTGGAAGCTAACTTCCTTCTTAACCTCCAATTTGAATTTAATCTATCAATTTAGAAGTCTGTGATGCTGGTTCAAAAGGGGAGTTATGAACAAATGGAAATTAAATTTGGCACATGAAATGTAACCATGCGGGGCTTTTTGGAAACCCTATTTCACTTACTTTGATGGTGGGTACAACAAAATATTGTGCAGACTATTTTAAACATATTTGTGCAAATTGCAATGACAAAAATAATGAAGCCACCTTGGGCTTATGTAATGCCATTTTTAAAAAAGATTATTTTCCATATGTGATTTTGCAGAGTAGTCCGTTTGCCTCATAGAGGTCTACTTTTTTTGTTTCCTTATCTGGTTCCTAATTAGTGATTAAATTTGTGAATTTGTAATTACATCTTATGTGCTTATTTCTGTGCTTTCCTATTGATGAAATGTTGGTAATATACAACTCAGTAGTATGAACATACTTTTTTCCCCATAGCCTTTTACTAAAGACGTCTATTAAAATGTTACATGTACTATACATTCTGTGACATTATAGTATACCAATTTAGATTAGCTGTATTATAATTTATTATGGCAATTGAAGAATCTGTTTAAAATGTATTAAAATTCAGAATCCTGACATGTGAAATTTGGATGCTCTTAATATGACAAAGGTTATTCTATGGGGTTTTGTTATCATATGAAATATTAATATTTCACAATACAGTTTTGATGAAGTACAATTTGCCAAGCTTGCATATGATAAAGAAATTAAATGCTTACCAAGGGAGTTCAATAAAAATTAGAGCCCTGACTGAACATCTGCTAGAAATTTTATTATCCTGTCCTACTGACAGTGTGGCTCCCTCGTTGTTTTTCTGGATTGACAGCTGAGTATTGCACTGATTTCTGCAGCAAATATGTTTACGTGAACTTTGTTTCCCTATTTTTATTTTTTTGGGAGTTCGGAACATGCTTTTGATTTTCATCCTACATATATATTTTTTATACTCTTGACATTTGTAGATGCCAGATTGAGGTCTAATACGCTGCAGCACCGATAGACCATTGACTTACAGTGAAATGCCAGTTGATATCTCCGTAAACAGAAATATTATTATTCTTTACTGTGCAGTCTATATAAAAGCTGTATGTGCTTTCTTTAAAAAGGCAAATGATCAGATTTTTAATGTCAAATATAAAAAGATCTGTTTGCTTTTGTGTTAAATAACATCAAAAATGGCTTTTATTAACTATATTCTTCCCCCTCAAATCAGTCTTTTCAAGAATATTTCAAAATAACAAGATTGCTTTTCTTGAGATTCTATTTATGTTTTATAAAGATAGTAAAGTCATATTTAAAATATAGTTATGAAATCATTTTTCTATATAAATGTGTATGGGCTCCAAGTTTAAATTTTGAAAGGTGAGAGAGAAATCGATCTGTCAAGCTTGATTAAAGCTAAATTATCATGACAAAACAGAGAAGTGATCTGTTTAAGAGGGAATATTAGAAATGGTTTGGACTTCACATAAAATAACCCTTTGACCTGTGTTCATATTATATTGATAGGAAGTAGATAAAAACATTTTATTTTCATTAATCTTGTCCATAAATTTTTTTCTCTTGGAGAACTACATATTATATACTGCAAATCTATAACATGAAACTGCAAGTTGCATAGCTTTATTACTACACAGATAAATAAACTAAGAAGTATTTATTTCTATCCTAAATCAAATCTAAACCCAAGCAACAGTTCACTTCACTTGTAAGCCCTCTCTACACATAGATTAACTTGTGATTAACTTTTATTATGAAAATGTCTCAAATGAATAGATTTTGTTTTAATAAGTATCAAATTAGGTAAATAAGTATTCATATAATAGGTCTCTCTTATAAAATGATAAGAAGTAAAATCTGAAAATATTTAAGGCTCTTTTTTTGGCATCAAAATATTTCTTGTAGCTCTTTCTGTAAAATACAACCTTATACCACATAGCACAAAGCTTAATGTATAAGAGAGATTTGATAAATGTTTCATAAATATTCACTGGATAAATGAATACGTAGAATTTTTTGGCAAGAGCATATTGAGTTTATTTTTTCCCAGTATATGAACAGACAGTTAACACATAAAACAATTGACTGTTTTGAGTATTGATCTCAATTAAAGGAGAAAAGGCCAATTAAAAATTTTCACATTCTATGTTGCTTTCTATAGTGCATCTATACATGTCTAAAAATGAAAATGTCAGTGAAATTTCTAAATGTATGGATTGTGGCTTAAGACTTAGGTTGTTGTATAAGCCTTTAAATGCAGAAGATTTTTGAGAAAACAGGACAAGTATCCCACAATATTAAGAAGAGACATAAAAATCGGCTGGCCTAACTTTCTAACTGCATGTGTTGGTAGTCCTGAGAGAAGAAATGTAACCTGTTCTTGAATGCTTTTAGTGACAAGGAATATACTACAACTTTAAGGCAATGCAACCTGTGTGACTGTAGAAAGATCTGTTTTAGAAATATGTTCCTTTTATTGACGCCACATCAGCCTTTTCATAAGTTGCATCCATGTTTTATGTATAGTCCTGCCCTCTGATACATCATGGAATAAATAAGAGTAACATTAATATAAATGAATTGTTTATTTAAAATATTGTTGTTGTTGTTTTCCACAAGTAAATAAATACCTTAGAGAAAGTCCAACAAATATGGAGAAACAGTATAGTGTGGGGGAAAGTGCTTTGGCCTGGGAGGCCCTGGTCTTAATCCAAAGCTGCTCCTAAATCACAATCTTGGACGTGTGTAATATTATAGGTCATTGGTATAGTTGTTATCATTATTCATATTATTAGCTACCCTATATTCAGTGCTTAGGATGTATAGACTAAATGTTTTTATACGTTATTTCATTTAATCCTCACAATCTGCTTATAAGATAGATGAAATAATTTTTCAGATGAAATAATAGTCTGAAAAAGTTAAATAAATTGTCCAGGACTTAAGACAACAATTATCTATTTGACTATAGTCATGTGGGTTGGCAATTTGGGTTCAGCACATATGATCAGTTCTTCTACTTCACAGGGTATCTGCTGGCCTCAATCATGCATTTACAGTTGGTTGTTGGGATCCCGGGGGATCAAGATATTCTCACTAATGTGTCTGGAGCCTCACGTGGGATTGCTATAATTGCTTAGATGGCCAAGCCCTTCTCTCTGTCTCTTCATAATCTCTCTTGCCTCACGATGTCTTATCAAGGCAGCTGGTTTAGGTTTGATAAGGGTACTTCATAAGGCTAGCAGTGTTCCAAGAGGACAGGAGTGGAAGCTGAAAGATCTCTTGGCACAAAGACTCCAAAGTCTACACAGTGTTACTTCCATATTTTCTTCAAAGCACATTACAAAGTCAACGTATGTTCATGAGGTAGGTAAATACCATCCACTTATTGATGAGAAGAACTGCAAAACCA